CGGCTTCTTAAACTCAGCACTTATACACATATTTAACACGCTAGATATGGCTGCATAATCTGGTCACCTCACACTCAACAAATGAATGATACACACGAGAGACTCACTTAACAGATGAGGTGCACAGTCATTTCATGGTCGACAGTCTGTTTAATCGTCAAGCTGCTGATTTAACTTTCTTCTACAAGTCAATCCCCGGCCAGATACAGTGTCCGGAGATCAGCAACCAATTTGGATTCATTGAGTCCAGACCAGGGCTCCGTACGAGAAGGTTGTTAACCACAATAAAAACAACCAAAAACTACATTTACCACGGACGAAAGAACAGGATAGCTAACACGGTCAATGAATATTCAGCAGACATCGACTTTTTTGCAAGATCTCTGTCAAGTTTCAACTCTAACGTCAAAAAAATAATATTAACCACACCAGCATTCACATTGTCTCCATGTTCACTAATAATATCTACTAACCTCTCTGTTATCTCATATACTTCCATTAAAATATCAAACAAAATTTATAAAATTTTATGTACACTGCCGATTGGCGTTTCTCTCTAATAAATAATTAAATAAATAAATATGGTCACCTAAATGCCAGAACATAACATACTTCTCTCCAAGCAGTTTCAGTATTTTCACCCTCGAAACAGCTCGTTTCCTGGGCCTACCGTTAAGTGATTTCGATCACTATTAACTTATTGCATTCCCCTAAGCAGGGTCAGTAAGACAGTATCTAGTGAGAACTCCTTAATAAGAGACAGTAATTCAACCGCTTAAGGGGTTACATGGGTTTCGCGGCTTCAAAAAAAAATCACTTTTATTGTCTTATTTAATTCTATAACATTTCTAGAATATTGTCCCAAATTCTCAAGTTGATATCAGTAATAGTTTTGGAGATACAGCTTTGAAAAGTTGCGCGCTTGAGGTCAGCTATATTGTCACTTAAAACTTTAAACGCGTTTTTCTCGAAACTGTGTTTTCAAAGTCGGTTGTCAAGATTTCTCGCGAACTACTCAACCGATCTCGATGAAATCTTATACAGGTGTTTGAGATACAATTTACTCGTACTTGGACGAAGGGTTCTTTTTTCAATTACAACTATTTAAAAAACAAGAAATGTCGAGCAAATTTGACCGAAATTTTCATTTTTTTGTAAAATGGTCTGCCAAAATTCCAATTTGAACTTGTTTTTTTTCCTTCGTTCAAGTACGAGTTTATGGTCTTAACTAAAACACATAAATTTTTTTCATTTTAAATGATCCTGTCAGGAGTTATGCTGACAACGCGGACGCACCTTTTTTTCAAGAGGTCACCGGAAATGACGTCACAATGTCGGAGTTTTAATTTTTTTTTTTGAAAATTTCTGAAATTATGCTTTAAATATGTATCTTTAAGACAGAAAAAAATTTGAATTAATTAAATAATTTTATATATAAAAAAAAAATATTGAAAATAGGCCGTTTATTACCCGACGAAACCCATGTAACCCCTTAAGTTCCACTTTGATCCACTTCTGCTTGAAAAATACTTCGATGGTCTTGTATCTGAAGCTAAAGTTAATGGACAAAAAACTCCCCCTCCAACCTTCCGCCGAACACATAATATTGTGTATATTGTGACTATGAAAAGTCTGCACTGATTGCATTAACTTTTGACAATACTCAAGTATACTCGAGAACAGAGAGATAAATCACATATTGATGGCTATATTCGGTATAAAGTTTGCTAGAATAACAAAAATCAATCTAGCAAGCATTTCCCGTGGAATAACGTAAGCAACATTTTGTTGATTTTTGGTTTATTTTTATGTTGAAATATTAATTTCAAGCGCTGATGACTGCACGATATTGACGTCGGGCAATGGAATCGATGGCATGTGCTCGACAGTAAACAGCTATCTCTCTGATCTTTCTCGCTTCTTCTCTGCAAGGAACCTGACACTCTCCCCCACCAAATCCACAGCGACCATATTCACAAACTGGACGAAGGAGTACAGACTGGATCTAAACATTTCAGTCGATGGCACCAAAATTCCGACGGTAAACAACCCTAAAATTTTAGGCGTTACACTAGACAGTCTTTGCTCTTTCATTCCCCACACGACCGCTATAACTGCCAAAGTACAGAGCAGCAACAAAATCCTCAAATCGCTTGCCGGCAGCTCTTGGGGAAAAGACAAAGAAACGTTGCTGACAACATACAAGGTAATCGGCCGGCAGGTTCTAATTATGCAGCCCCAATATGGTCGCCTGGATGCAGTGCCACGCAGACGAGGAAGCTTCAGACCTGTCAGAACACTGCACTCCGGACTATCACGGGATGCCTCTTGATGTCTCTAATCGAACACCAACGAGCTCCTCTCCAAGCAGTTTCTGCTGGGGTGGTTTCCCTGTAGTAGCCTGCTTGTAGCGGAGCCGCCTTCTAGGAACATCAAGAGGTCTTTCCTTGATTACATCGACGACATTAGACAGTACGCCGACCGGACTTCGGACGCAACGAACTTCAGACAGGCACTGACCGCCATTCACATTGGAGCCATCCACACTTTCACCGACTCCCTCTCAGTGAATGGCGTATTACGAATCAAACCACCACCCATAGCAGACGTAGAGCTCGAGTTGCTTCGCGAAATCAGAGTGACCCTGGCGCAACCTCGTTCTGGATACTGTAGCAGGTTAAACTCCTAATTTTTTGAATAGACCCTGACATACCAAACACATGTCCTGCGCGCAATAAGTCTCCGCACGACACTAACCACCTCTTTGCATGCCCAACAAACCCCACTCATCTAACACCCTTCTCCCTATGCTCCGACAACAACAACAACCCGATCGAAACAGCTCGTTTCCTGGGCCTCCCGTTAGATGACATCGACGACAACGAATCTGGAATTTATCACCCATACGGGGACTATGTAACCGTTACAACAACAACAACATAGCCTGTGCTCCTTTACTCCTCACACTACCGCTATAACTGCCAAAGTACAGAGCCGCAACAAAATCCTCAAATCGCTTGCCGCCAGCTCTTGGGGAAAAGACAAAGAAACGTTGCTGGCAACATACAAGACAATCGGCCGGCCGGTCTTATATTATGCTGCTCCAATATGACGAAGAAGCTTCACTGATGTCCCCAATCGAACAGCTACACACTGAGGCCCGTATGCTGCCGGTTAAGGAACATACCGAGATCCTCTCTAAGCAGTTTCTACTGGGCTGTTTTAGCAAAAATCACCCCTGCAGTCGTCTGCTTGAAGAGGAACCGCCTCCTAGGAACATCAAGAGGTCCTTTCTTGATGACGTCGACGACATTAAACAGTACGCCAACCAGACTTCGGACGCAAGGAACTTTAGACAAGCACTGACTGCCGTTCACAGTGGAGCCATCAACACCTTCACCGACTTCCTCTCATTGAATGGCGTACTAGGAGTAAACCACCACCCATAGCAGACGTAGAGTTCGAGTTGGCTCCTGATTCCAGAGTGACCCTCGCACAAATTCGTTCTGTATATATTGTAGCACCCCTGCGGGCAGGGGATAGAATATGCCCGCGGCAAGGCATGCCTGTCGTAAAAGGCGACTAAAAGCCAATATGCACTATGACTGTTATTATATTCTTTGCACAGTAATATCAGCATAGTATGTGGAGTGATAGTGCTATAATACTCAGCTTGAACTGATATTAGAAACACTTTAAATGAAAAAAGCGAATAAAAAGACATTTGAAGTTCAAGCGACAAATGTTACCAGTCATTTGAGTAATGGGGAGCTCAACTGGCAGTAGTTTAGGCTACGCAGTCTGACCGGAGACTTTCCGGTACCACGGGGAGCAGAAAGCCCTTGGACTTCTGTTCAATCTGCTCATTGGGTTCGGCCCTTTGGGGAGTATCGTGGTGGCTGTGGTTTAAACCTAAATGCTGGAAGAACTGAATTTCCAGTTCGAAAAAAGAAGTTACACAAGTAACTGGGTGCCGTACCCGAAAACGGAAGAGGTTTTAGGTCGGCCTCGAATTACACCATAATGGTAGTGTGGACCCAGACAGTATTGATACGTTGTGTTTCTGAACACCGTGAGGTAAGGCCGTCGCCGGCAGGTACTCACGTAAATCTACAACGAAAGTTGTATATTGTAGCAGGTTTAACTCCTACTTTTCCAGAATAGACCCCGACGTATCAAACATATGTCCTGCGTGCAATGAGTCTCCGCATGACACTAACCACCTCTTTGCATGCTCAACGAACGCCACTCATCTAACACCCATTTCCCTGTGGTCCGACCCCATCGAAACAGCTCGTTTCCTGGGCCATCCTTTAGACGACCTTGACGATAACCAAATCATAACTCATCACCCAAGCGGTGACTAGGTAACCGTTACAACATGGTATGAAGTTTGAAAATCTTTTATTAGGTATGTGGAGGCTGGGGAAAAACTGACCCCATTTTCAGTACAAGATTATTACCGGAACAAGACGCCCTCTGAATATCGTTAAGATTTGCGTTATCTCCTACATATAAATGGAATGAGAAATATTTATCCGATTTCCATTTCTGGGTAAGACATGGCATACCTTGAAACGTATCGTTCACCCGACGAATTTAAGTAAAAAACTCGGCTTTAGAATACCGTCACAGGATTTCGGGGATGAAATGGGTATGAGCTGATAGAGAAGGTCCTCCAGGTCAAGAATATATATAGATATAGCCGCGGGAAACTTATAGTTTTCGAGATATTTACGTTTAAAATTGAAAATTTCAACTATTTAAAGTACGTATTTTTGCGATTTAAAATGAATTATACACTTATATTTTTTACTTTTATATCCTTTTTTAAATGTGCAAAGTGCATTATATACCTTTGTAAATATATACATAAATTATTGAAAAAAATACCCTTTCCGTTCACGGATTTGTAATCTTCGCGTAAAAATAAGACGATTTAAAAAAAAAAAATCATTTTTGAGACCTCCTTAGTTGGGAGACCTAAACTATACATTTACCAAATTTTGTTGCGAAAGAACTCCAAATCATACTTTTGATATAAACAATCAATTTATATGTGCAAAGTAGTTACAATAACCATAGAAATAAAATTGTAACAGACTTTCTTCGTACTCACTTCATCATTTTTAAACCAGTCCAGACTATCCGCCTAAAATCGATAACTCCAATACCACCTTTTCTAATATTAAAAAAACTAGGTCACGATCACATCTCTTATACTCTGTTTACACTTGGCATTCTATTGGTGCAATACTCTAACTTGATTTATAGAAATCAGGAAAATTATTATAAATTTTTTTGCAAAGTAGTTACAACAATATTCACATTGTACAAAATGATTAAAAGGTCGAAACAATTACCAGTGTTTATAATAATCAGATTCGATTCAAGAGCTGATAATTCATTGAAACTAGATGTTCTGTCATCAGATTTAATTATTACTAAAACCTTCGTGGGGCTCTCAAATCGTTTTGTTTATAATCCCACTTAATCAGCGGAAAAGAAGATTCTTAATGTCTGAGCTTGATCTCGAATAGGTGAGACATTCAAAAAATAGGTGAGACATTCAGAAAAGCGCAAAAACTAATGGTAGCCTAAGGCTGACCAAGCTTCCGGAAAGTCTAGTTAGACTGCAGTAGAATGAGAGATGAAAGCGGAGCTTCGCAGAGTTCTCACCTATTCCTGTCTTTTTCTCACCAGCTTGCCACTTTTCCAATTAATTGCGGTTAATTTAGAAATTGTCTGAGTCGCATAATAACTTTGGTGCCATATGTTTATGGCTGTTATATGAAAAATCGGCATTAATAAGCCACAATGGAGTTTTGCTATTGCTCCTCTGCAGCATAACAAGGCAGTCAATGCTTTCCTTGCTCTTTTCACGGTATGGGCTTCGATAAAAATTTTTCTATAATACCGCAATCACAAATGTAGAAGAGTTTATCAAAAAAAAAATAAACACATATTTGCTAACAACATGTTCCAAGACTGAATGAGCTCTATGAATAAAATCTGAGCTACCCTAAACTGAATGTCGGGGACTGGCGTTTAAGGTCTTCCGTGGTAATTGTAAGGGCCGCAGCCTCCTATCTAACTTTTCGTCTCACTTTACCCTTGGTTTCGGTCTAGTACAACCTTCGTCGGTTGATCGATGGTTTTGTGGTAATCGCGCTCAATTTGCCCTATACTCAGTGCTCTCATTCAGCAGCCCTCGAGTGTGTTAGTATACCGCTTAAATATTTCTACAGTATGCTTTTTACCGCAGCTCTCAACGGTTTCGAAATCGAAAGCTAAAGTCGAGTCCAGAAATGGAAGACGATGAAGGCTCCAACTCGTTACCGTTTTGTAAAGCGAAAAGATGCTCCAATACACAGCGTGCGCAATACATACCAAAATTGTAACGTTGACGTTAGGCATTGCTGGTGTAAATATTGTTTCTAATAAGAACAAAACTTAATAAGAAGGAACATATATCAACGCGGACGGTCAGAAAAAGGCCCGCAACCACTAGATCGTCCGAGCAGCACAACACCAAACAACAGCAGCTGCACAAAAATCTACCCAGGAATATCATCTTTGCAGTCCGCAGGATTTGCTCTACGCAAATGGACCTCTAATGACCCAAAAGTCTTATCTGGAATCTCACAGGAGCAGTTTTTGGGTACCAACTTACTCACGCCTCTCTCGAATCATACCAGGGAAGTCTCGACTTGCCACATTACTCCTCACTTATATCCACTTACTTATGCTTCATGCGGAACATTGACTAATGAAACATTTAGTCCGCCAAGAGTTCCGTAATCCCCGACTTAAGGTCCAAATAATATAATATTAAATTAAATAATATAAAATCCATGGTCTTGTGCAAGATCTGCACTATGCATAAACATAAGTTGCGATCGCAGATTATGGCAGCACTTCCAACGGAAAGCTGTAACTTCGCTCTGCCTTTCACAACTACAGGTTCCGATTTTGCGGGGCCTTTTCAGATAAAGGCGCCAATGATTTGGTCGTCCGCCATAATGAATGGCTATATGGCTGTCTTTGTCTATTTTACGAAAGAAGCAGTGCAACTCGAGCTATGTACGAATCTGTCAAAGGAGGATTTTCTCGCGGCATTTTAACTTTTGTCGGACAACACGGCTTCCTCTCAAAACTAGTGAGCGGTAACGGTATCAAGTATCACTTGAAATTGTTCAGAAGTACGCCCCCAAAAAATAAATTTGCAATTTAACCCCCCAAGCGCTCTTTATATGGGTGGTTTATGGAAGTCAGCTGTAAAAAGCTTCAAATCCCACTGACTAGATGAGTTATGCCTCCCCCCTCCATACACGCCACTGAGCGCCAACACACTACATCAACACAATCCACAAGAAGACTCCACCCACTAACACACAGCACCCCTGCAGACAGCACACCACGCAGACCACCTACACATACACATCACATCACACCACAACTCAACACAACCCAACACTCAAAAGGGACTAACACAGGACTAGAGCCCCTTCTTTTTCGTACGCATTCGAGCCGTGAAGACGTCCGCCGTTCTCGCCCGAGTACCTTAAGTAGAACTTTTAACTTATATTATATATATATTTTTTCCTAATAAACAAAGCAGATACCGCCGGAAAATCACTTTTAATTTTTTTTTTCAATAAACGCATAAAAACGGTGAGTGCAAACGAGTATATTATTCATGGTCCGTCGAGCCATAGTGAGCGGCACTATGGAGTGATTGAAAAAGAAAACTAAAAAAATATATACATATATACATATATAATTTATATATATACAAAAGTGACTAAAAAGTGCTGTGCAGTGAAATGACATACACATACACCAAAACAAAAACAAAAAATCCGAAAAAAATATTGTATAACAAGTGACTAAAAAGTGCTGTACAATGGAGTGAAATACATATACACATAGAAAAACAATTGTTAATAAGTTGATATGAAAAAAAAAATAAAGTGTTTAGTGACATAGACATATGTACAAGAAGTGAAAAACAACAATTATAAAAAAAAACAAAAAAACGAGCACGAAATAATCACAAAATTTCATACTGACACGAATAGTAACTAAAAACAACAAAACTACATACATAATTAAAAAAGAACGGGCGCGAGTCAAAACTAACAAAAAAAAACATAATCATCTCAAAAGGTCACAACAACAACCACACCAACCTAAATCAGCACAGCGAAGCTGAAACTGGGAGAGAGCCACAACACAAAAAGCATCTCACAAGTATACCATACACACATATGGTATACAATATTGTCCCCAAAACCCCTTAAGGAAAATCAAAGTGAGTTGTGTCAACTCCATTTAGTATTTGTATATAATGTTTGTATGTTAAAATTTATGCATTTGCGGTTTAATTATTGCATAAAACCGTTTTCATAAAAGCAAAAACAAAAAGAGCGGTTACCAAACTGTTTCAATATTTCGGTTTATTTTCCGGTAAAAACCGAAATACCGCTAACACATAAAACAGTTTCGTAAAAAATGTATATCCAAATATACAACAAACTATTGATTGCCTAACTGCTTAGAGTCATAAAGATACCCTCTTCTTCAGGTGTTAATTGTAGAGTGGTACCTGTTCTGGCTAGTTCATCTGCTTCGCAGTTACCAGGGATATCACTATGTCCTGGAACCCATTCCAGGTTTATCGAGAAATAGGATGTTAGATCCTCTAATAGATCAAGACATTCTTTCACTATCTTTGAAGAGACCATAGGAGACTTGAGTGATTTCAAGGCCGCTTGGCTATCCGTATAAATATATATGCTCCTTGTTATGACCACACTTTTTGTCAATAAAACGAGGCTTTCTTTGATTGCTGTGATCTTCGCCTGGAAAACACTGCAGTGGTCTGGTGGGCGAAAGGCGAGCTAAAGCTGCAGAGAAGACACCACCTCCCACTCGATTATCTAGTTTGGATCCATCCGTGTAGATGCTAATTCCTTCATTCCTGTCCACTTCGTCCCTTTCCCACTCCTCTCTGCTGGGGAAGGCAATGTTGTGAACCGAATTTAGCTTCAATTCTATTGGATTTCAAAAATCCATGGTTTTGGGTAGAAACGGGAATAAACTAAGTATTCTAGAGTGCCCTCTTGTTGCAGGCGACTAATTAGGACTATTCCCTTAGTCTGAGAGCTGATTTTGCTGCTACTTGCTTACAGAACAGGTCTATTGGCAATAAATGTAAAATGACGTTTAGTGCCTGGCTAGCCTTTGTTCTAAAAGCTCCAATAATGCATAAACTCGCTACTCATGGTATACTTACCATACGCCTCACCGCGTATTTCTTATCCATTATTGGCCTCCATGTTAATATACCGTAAGTCATGATCTGACAACTGCTGTATAGAGCCAATAGGCTATCCGAGGTGTTAGCCCCCATTTGGGGCCCACCATTTTTATACAGGTGTAGAGTGCTGTGGCTGCCTTCTTCACCCTAGCATCCAAGTTTTGTTTCCATGTAAACTTCCTGTCTAAGAATAGTCCTAGGTAGCTTGCCTTATCACCAATTGTTAGTCTGCAACCATTTAATAATGGCGCCGTAACTAGTGGAGTGTTATGCTTTCTGGTAAATAATACTAGCTCTGTCTTACTAGCATTTACGTTTAATCCGCACGATACAGCCCAACGGTTTATATCGTCCAAGATCGTTTGCATAAGGTGTGTGAGAGTATTCGGGAATACCGATACTGCCACATCGTCAGCGTAGGCCACTACATGTACCCCCTTCTTTTCTAGATCCCACAGCAACTTATTCATTGTCAGGATCCAGAGAAGTGGGGAGAACACGAGTCCTTGAGGTGTACCCCTTTGGGCGGATCTGCACATCGTTGACGCTCCCAGCTTTGAGATTATTGACCTGCTCATGAGCATCTATTCAATTAATTTTCTGAGAGGTTCAGAGATGTCCAGATCCTTAAGCGAACTCAGTATGGCCCTAGGCTGGATGTTATTGAAGGCTCCTTCTATATCTAAGAAGGCAATTACAGTGTATTCTTTAGCTTCCAGAGATTTTTCAATCTCCGCCATAGAGCGCAGCGCTGTTTCTGTGGATTTTCCATTAGAATACGCATGTTGCGATCCAGCCAGCTTATCTGGTTTTAGTTTGTTTCTTATATATAGTTCTATTGGCCTTTCCAACGTTTTTAGAAGGAATGAGGAGAGACTAATTGGTCTGAAGTCCTTTGGACTTGTATGCGAGCTTTTACCTGCCTGGTATGTATATTACCTTGACTTTCCTCCAAAGCGAAGGGATATAGTTTAATTGCAGCGCCCCCTTAAGAATGGGAACTAGCCAATCCATTATGTAATTCTGCGACTGGTGTAATTGAGCCGGGAAGAGACCGTCTGGCCCCTGCGACTTGAAGGGCTTAAAGCTATTTATTGCCCAGTGTACGTTGCTTTCTGACACTGTGTTTATAAGAGTGGAGGCAACTTCTGCTCCACTCTCTTGAGTATATCCAACCGTATGGCTTTCAGAACTGCCTGGGAAGTGGGTATCCACTAGTAGTCCCAGCGACTCTTCATTGGATACCGTCCAACTGCCGTCTGGCTTCTGAAGAAAACCGATACTATGCACCGTTTATGTCATTATTTTCCTAGGTCGAGACGCTTCCGCTGTATTCTCAATATCATTACAAAAAGATTTCCAAGAATTTCTTTTTGCTCTCCTAACTTCCTTTTTGTATGACCTAAGGAGGCTGTAATAATAATTCCAGTCTAACTCCTCTTGGGATTGTTTGGCTAAATTGAACTGCTTTCTGCATTCTTTCTGTTCGGGAGATCACCAGGGGGGCCTAGTTTTACCCCTACTATGTGTTATTGGACAAGCCACTTCTAATGCTTGCCGGCAAGATTCAGTGAATCGAACAACGAGGATGCCGAGATCCTCCTTACTATTGGGCTGAAATGGCGGAATCATAGGGATACGTTTTTCCAGCTCTTACATGTGCACCTGACAGTTCGTTTTCCTATGATTCCTGAAGACATCGGTGATCCGAAAAGGAATGTTCTTTGAGGACTCTCTATTGGATTACCCTGTCAAATAATACTTCCGACACAATCGTGATATCCAGTACTTCTTGTCGATTTCTTGTGATAAGCGTCGGTGTACTTCCCTTATTACACAACAGTAGCTTAGTGCCTAGTAGGTAATTAAAGAGACACTTACCTCTGTCGCTGACATCTGTGCTGCCCCAGACTGTGTGATGCGCGTTTGAGTCGCATCCTAGTATAATCATGCACTTGGATGCCTCGCTATCCCGTGCCACCTCTTTTACCATCAGAGGTGGCATCAGCTCTTCCTCGTATGGCATGTAACTCGACACCAGCCGATAACTACATGTGCTCTTTTCCCAGCTTACTGTTACTGTGTCGTTGTTGCTGTAATGATGTAATATAAAACGTTGAGGTTTTTCTTTGCCATTATGCAGACTCTGATTTTACCTTGACAATTAGCCATAAATAACCTATAGCTCGGTGTCCTCAGTCCGCAAATACGCCCTCCATTAACTCATGGCTCCTGAATGAGGACAAACTTAGGCTGTTCTATAGCCACGCGGTTAATAAGGGCTGCTGAAGCTAGTTTGCTGTGATAAGGATTAATTTGTAGAAGACGCATTAACTAATGTTGTATCTGCGTCTTCCAGAGAGTCGCTCAAAAGTTCTCTCTCAGTATACAAGTTTGAAAGTCTGGCAGAAAGCTCAGACCCGGAAGAACACTCACCTTGCTCTATACTTTCTACATCGCTCGAGGACTCCATAGGATCTTTCTCTACTTCGCATGCCTCGCTTGCCGATGCTAGAGGGTCTGCAGCATCGGCGTCCGACTTGTATGGTATAGTTCTCACTTTCGTGAAACCGTAGTTTATCTCCCCGCCACTTTTCGCCAGCGGTTCTATGGATTCCTTTGTTAGTAACAGCAGAATCTGCATCATTGCCCTCTTGGTCTCCACGCCAGATTCTGCTACACTATTGTAAAATGCCTTGATGAACTTCCACCCCTCCGTGGGCAGACACGGGTTGCAGGCTCTTATGAGCTGCATAATCTGATCCGGCTTTGATGGTGTAGCCGGGATCCATACCCTTGCTCTCGGTCTGGATGGTATGTCCTTTCTATCTACTGCTACCAGTTTTGCGCCGGGGTATACCTCCCCTACCTTGGCTATAGCAGCTTTGTATATTGCGACCGATCTCTCATCATCGCAAGCAATCATTTTAATCTGGCCCTGGTACCATATTGCTAAGTAGCACTTCCAGCGTCACATTTGTCAGCGCAGCCTGCACCCATTTCCATTGGGCTCTGGGGATTCTTCCTTCGGGGTCCCCCTCATCCAGAACGCCAATGACAATACGGTTCAGGGCCACCTCTGCAAATGATTTCGCGGGCGTCACGCCCTTAATTTTCGGTCGTTTGGCTGACGGCTTAGCCTCTTCAGCTGACTTCTGTCGCTTTGCTGCCTTTACTGGAGGTTCCACCCTTAAGTTGGGTATGACTGCTCTCGCGCAGTCAATCGCTGCCTGGAGCTCCTTGGTTAGCTCCTTTATGGTTGGCGGTTGCTCCTCCACTAACTTCAATAGGTGTAGTAATGCGGCGCGTCGTCTTTCCGCATACCTTGCCTTTGCCGGGTCCTGTATACTAAATGCAGGGCACTTCCTTGCAGGTGCACTTCCAGCAGCAGCCCCTTTGGCATCTCCTCCCTCCCCCTGCTTCACAGCCGTGTTTTAGCTGCCGCGTTTGGGTCTGGCTGCCTCCGGCGCTACCACTTTCTATGGGCCTATTTAGCTTCTGCTACTAGTGCTTGCCCTGATCTTCTGGATCTCCCTTTTTCTGGAGATCTGGGCTCTCTCCGATTTTTGTTTTGAATTTGTTTATTTGTGTTTAGGTTCATAGATGGTCCCACGAGTGTAAGGGAAAGTGTATCCGCTTGCGCATAGCCCCCGCTACGCAAGTGAGGCTATATTATTACGGAGGGCGCCAGGTATCCGTAAGCTCCATTTGAGAGTGGGCTATTTAAGGGTCCCCAGGCAGGTTGATCCTCGGCACGGGTCGCATGACACCTTGATCCAGCCCTTTATATTACCCCCGACCATGGTAAGGCTCCTTATCTGTATGCTGTGCTATTGAGGAACATCGAACACACAGATAAGAAGTTTGACCCTAGCTAGATTCCTCACAACTACGGCAGGGGCGGACTGTTACCAGCTCGTCCCCGTTTACGTCGTGAAATTGTGGTATCTATTATCCGTCGGCACCCTCGGGGAGAGTTCAGTGGAGGATATCTGCCGACCTCATATATACATAAATTTTACAAAAATACCTGCGGTAAATTATTCTCTTTTTCGCGGTCTTTTCATACTGCGAACATATATACACGCGCATTTATACATACATACAGGCGCAGGTATACAAACATATACGCGGAATACCTTCGAAAAAAAAAATATACCCTATTGACATGGGGTACAACATTTGTTTTTTAGGTTCTTATACACTTATAAACAAATAAAGCGGCGGCAATTTGAAATATAATCAAATAAAAATTAAAGCGATAAAATACGAAATACACTTAATTTATTTATTTATTTGGAAATAAAACCTCTTATTAACTTAAAAGAGTTCTGGGTGAAACATACACAACATAACGAGTATCCTGGAAAATTGAAAATGTTCTTGTCTTTTTAAATTTTATTCGAAACTATATAACTATATACATACTACAATATTTGTGAAATTTCATCAGTTTACTCGGCTTTCGGCAAATACGAAAATTGTTTAGACCAGTTTTAAGACATAAAAGCAATGATTTCCATTTGACCAATTAAAATTAATTAAAGCAATTGTGCCTACTCCACAACGGAGAGTAGAGCTGCAACAAATTCAATGTCAAGAGGCAAGTTCAGGCATCCATCTCAAGGTGCCCGCATGTGACAGAAATTTTTCATGGAGGTTATAAGCAATGTCCTTCCGGGACATGTTTACAGCCGTTTACATAAACCACCTAAAACTAGCAAATACACAAAATTGTAGAATATCACCTCCGGTACAAAACAAAAGGTCAATGACAATTTCAATTTGGCTTGGGAAGCTCTAAAATCTAGATATTAATGAACTTGCCATGCATTCAAAAGGAAACAAGTGAAGAATTTATCAAACTTCAATCAACTGCTTCAAATTGTTTGTCGGTTTTATCGACACAGAATATTCCCACAGACAGCTGGAACCCTATACTGGTAAACATACGTACGCATTACCAGAAAAATCATTACTGCTATGGGAGCCATCGCTCCATCACGAAGAAAATGCCCCACGTGACAACAAATGAAAGATTTCCTAACTGCCCAGTACGAAATCGCAGAAAGGGTAGACAAAAAAATAGTCAGAACGAAAAGCGTTCAACACGACCCAAATAGGAGCTTCCACTTCTTCTTCCACACTCCAAGCAAGTAGCAACAACAATTTAAATAGAAGCTTCTTTAAAAATCATATGTTCACATCCGAACAGTACAAACAAACATCATGCGAACTATGTACGGGGGGGCATAAGCTCAAATCTTCCGAGAAATTCAAAAATTTAATATTATCGACCGAAATAATTTTGTAAAAACAAAAAGACTTTGTAAAAACTGTCTGCCACATGTGCATACACTTAAAGAGTGCGAAAGCATATTTAATTTCGTTTACTGTCATACACGATATCATTCAATGCTCCATTATAACAATTTTTCCAGCTCACCCCCAAACAGCGCAAATATGAAAAGAGCCACGGGTTTAGTTGCAACAGCAAATCCCGAAGTGCGAAATCCCAAAAATTTCCCAGAAGCACCATACTGCTCAAAGGCATTAAAAACCCAAACGCTACACAGTGAAAATCAAAGTATAGTACTACTACCCTCAGCAGTCGTCTCCATCGCACACCGAGGAGAACTGTTGAAGCTTAGGGCCTTAATAGACCAAGGATCACTACGATCATTTATAGCGTCTAGGGCACAAAATAGGCTACAACTGCCAACAAAACTAGCCAATTTTGAAATCACGGGAATGGGCGGAAGAGTAGTCCAAAACTCAAACAAAATATGCCCCATTACCATAACTTCCCACAAAGCGGATAAGCTTCTGCTTTAAGAAGCTTTTGTCTTACCGCAAACATGCTTCCAAGCTATCACATAAACTGCAACACTCCTGCTCAAATAGATCTTCTATTAGGCAGCGATCTCATATAACACATAATATTTGAAGGTATTGAGAAAATTTCAAATACACTTCTGGCACAAAATACTATTTTTGGTTGTATCCTAAGTGGACTAGTCACGGAACCAGTTACCACCATCACCACCAAACTTAAGGAAATCTCAAACGAATACCTCAGTTCACAACTAAAGAAATTTTGGGAGTTAGTAGACCTCCCCCCCATGCTAATCACAACTCCTGAAGATGGCGTGTTAGAAGAGTACCTCCATTTAGACCACACGGAGGAAGTAAGTGCAGGCGAAAAAATCATAAACGGCAAATATTACTCATTTTACTTGCCTCATCACGCAGTAGTAAAGCCAGACAAAAAAACAACAAAAGTCAGAGTGGTGTTGAATGACTCCAGATCCACTAGCTCAGAAAATTCCCAAAATGATATTCTATTTACGGGACCCACACTTCAACCAGATTTAATGCTTTTCATATTAAATTGGCGTATATTCAAATACGTATTCAATGGGGACGTTGAGAAAATGTATCGACAAATAGTCGTACATAAAGACGATCACGATTTTCAGCGAATTATTTTCCGAAAATCTCCCAATAGTCCACTCCGCGACTAGAAATTAAAAATAGTTACCTTTGGCGTTACGAATTGGCAAAAAACACAATAGTACTGTGACGCCTCTAATAAAGCATATTGCGCCATTATATGCGTTCACACACAAAGCGACATTGCGACCACACGCCACTTATTAGTAGCAAAAGCAAAAAGTGACTCTTTTAAAATCAATAAGTTTACCACGACTTGAACTATATCTATGGGCCGATTGTACTAGCCTGGTTAGAAAAACCACCACATGCTTGGCAGACGTATATTTCTAATTAAACGTCTCAAATACGTGACCTAGTAGGATCAGCCACTTGGTGACATGTAGCCAATGCTGACAATCCTGCTGATCTGGGTACTAGAGGGTGCAAACCGCTGCACCTTACCACCACCACCCTCTGGTGGAATGGTCTCCGATGGTTAACAAAATCTCTTCTTCTTGTCCGAAATCGCCCATGCGCAACATAATAGCCCCAGAAAGTTGAAAAATCGACTCCTTTCACACAGCAGTGGAGAATACTGACATCCTTGAGCGAGTTTCATCGTTCTCCCGAGCAATCAGAGTAATCGCCTATATGTTAATGTTTATAGAGCGACTTAAAATTAAAGTTAAGGGCGCAATGCGATATATTGATGCACCTAGAATTGCAAAAAGGAAAGGTCGCTCTAATCGCATCAACTTAAATGCGCTAGTTTATCCGCGATATAACACTATTAAGAAAATTAAAACCCATTGACAAATGGAGTTCACTCTTAGTTCTTAACCCATTCATAGACACGAAAGGTCTGCTTCGTGCGAATGGTCGGCTTGCCAATTCAAGCCTCACGTATCACGAACGACATCCTCTAATCATACCAGAGAAGTCTCGACTTGCTACTTTACTCCTCATTTATATCCACTTACTCATGCTCCACGCAGAACATCGCGTAATACAACATATAGTCCGCCTAGAGTTTTATATTCCCCGACTTAAGCCACAAATAAAAAAATGCATTTTCATGTGCAAGATCTGCACTCTGCATAAGCAGAAGTTGCGAACGTAAATTATGGCAGCACTTCCACTGGAAAGCTGCAACTTGACTCTGCCTTTCACAGTTATAGGAGTCGATTTTGCCGGGTCTTTTCAAATAAAGGCGTTCATGCTAAGGTCGCCCACCATAATGAAAGGTTATGTGGTTGTCTTTGTCTGTTTTACGACAAAACCAGAGTACCTCAAGCTATGTACGAATCTAAGGAGGCTTTTCGCGCGGCGTTTGCTTGCTTCGTCGGACGACGCGGCTTCCCCTCAAAGCTAATGAGCGATAACGACAAAACTTTCATTGGAGCCCAAAGAGCCACTTAAAAACAGTTTGTGGATTTTATTAAGAGAGTCCGCCAGGCATTAATTGACAGTTTATCCCTACAATCCATCCTC